ACTAGATATATGTATGTATATGTACCGTAAGTTTGACTTCTACAGTGTGGAGTAAGCGCACTTACTTTTAAAGTATTGGGATAGAAAAAAACAGTTTTTCTGGAGAAGTCCTCCGTAGAAAAACTAGCTATATCCTTGGATCGGAGGTATTGAGAGTGCACGAGTTTCATTCTCTTTCCCTCGGCAAGATTCTAAGATTTACCAAATAGTATGGTAAGTGTGCGGAGGAGTAATAAATTTCCGGCTACAATTTCATTCCGCTCCGTTCTAAAGGCCTGTATGCAGTTCTCAAGAAAAGCAAAAATTCCATACAAAATGACGTACAAGAAATGCCTAAAAAATTTTCTTGTGTAAAATTTTCTTGAGGCAGTACGCAGTTCTTAAGAAGTTTGCTACGCTTTCTACTACGGTTTTCTAAAGTTTTTTGGGAAAAAAGAGCACAAGGCAACCCATGCTTGCAACCGAAATATATGCCCGTTCCATTATTTCTTGTGGCAATAATAGTAATTTGTTCTGCCTGTTAAAGGCCCCCTATCGGTTCATCGTACTTACAGCCTTTTAACTGGCACATAGTAATTAAAAGCCTGGTTTTTAATTACTACGATCAAGAAAAACTTAATACAATGGTTTAAAAAATTTCTTAAATAAAAAAAACGAAAAATTAATATTGCAATAACAAACAATTCGTGTGCTTCTGTCTCTACATATTTGATGCCTTTGTGGCTATATATTAGGAATGTTAATCCCAGGATCCCGGTCTTTTAAGGTCTCGAAAATCCCGGGATTATATGCCTAGAATCTCGGCATTTTCGGGATTTGTAATTTGCACTGCACATAGAAACGCTTTTTGTTGAACAGTTTTGGCTACATTTCTTTTGTTTATTTAATATTTAACATTTTTTTTATAAATGTGTAGCTCAATATACATATAACACTTTGCGGCAGGCAATTTTGCACACAAAAAAATAATATATTCGCCAAACCAAGGGCCAAATATAGTAAAATTGCGTTCTTAATTTTTCTCTCTGACGTCAGGATTCTTTAAAAGAACTTTGAAATTTGAAAGATATGAGTAATTCAAAAAACTATTTAAAAATTTCAGTGAATATACCTAAAAAATCAGTATGGGTATCAAATGAGGCAGAAGATTCTGTAGAGTTAAAACACCCTTTTATAATTTTATCCTCGAATATTCTTGAAATTTTTCAATTCTTATTTTTGAAAAAATTATATGTTAAGGACTAACTTTATTAGCTTAACAAGTAACTTTTAGCAAAAAAAACCGACTTAAAAAAATATATATATATCTATATATATTTCTTGACTCAATGATCGGATCTAAACCAAATTAGTATGGGACCACCTCTGAGACACTACCTTTCCGCTGCAAAACGACGATCGGTTGACGTGGTCCAAAGTTATGCGGTAACATACATAAAAAAAAAAAAAAATATTCCGATGAACTGATAACCTCCTCCTTTTTGGGAAGTCGGTTAAAAAATTAAAATAGACTAAAGAGGCATTTTCAGTTCCTATTCATCCTTGTGAACCGAAAAAAAATATTTCATTTGGTGCCCATACATTTGTTTTACGTTGCACTGAATTTTTTTAAATAAATTTTGGAATTAACCATATCTCTGAAATTATAACGAGCCCTAACCGCCAAAATAACGTAAACGAAAATACATTTTTTTTGTTAAATTTTTTTTTGCATCGAACTTTTTTCGACATACCTTAAATTATTTTATCAGATATGTATACACTAAAGTATTATTAAATGCATATAAATGTAATTACTGTCTTTTGTTTTGTTACTTATGAAATAATTTTCACTATAAATCAAAAATACGTTTCAAACTCATTTACTTATTATTTATTATATGGTAGGAGAGCTTCTCAAACCATATTGATGCAATTTTTTCATGTTAAGTCATTGAAAAATAATAAATATGTAAATCCCGGGACTGATCCCGGGATTCCGGGATTGAACCAACGACATCCCGAAAATCCCGGGATCGTATAAATCGAAAAAATCAACATTCCTACTATCTATACACATTCGGACTATGATTCGCAGCTGCTAATCATGGCACTCCATCTATAAATTAGTATTTATATAAGACGAGGCACAGATGACGCCAATAACGCTGCTCCTTCTCACTCTTCAACTCATTGCTAGAATTCTAGAAATTAGTTTACTAGGTCAATGCGACATTTAAAATAAAACTAAGAAGAATTTTTAGCAACAAAACAAATACTCGTACGAGTAAAAATGTTTGTATTTACCACATTAGGGGTATTCTCTGCATGGTGCCCCTGCATGGTGCACAGATTGCACGGATTGCATAGTAAAAACCGGTTTTCATATGTGACAGCTTTGCAAACCGTGCAATCCGTGCACCGTGCAAGGGCTTTGCAAGACTCAGAGAAGACCCCTAATGTGGTAAATAGAAACATTTTTACTCGTACGAGTACGACTCAGAGAATACCCCTATTGTAAAGTTGAACAAAGCATTTGGCCATTGCAAAAGGCGAAACCGTGCATTCGATTGCATTTGAATTTTCCAGGTGTCAAGTGCAAAAAGTGCTTATCGCATACTCACAAGTGCAAACATACAAATAAACAAAGTTTATAGTTTTTTTTTTTTTTT